TACCATTGAAGTGGGAGGTGTGATTGTGGCGTTTTAATTCTAATTCTATACCAATTACTGTTACATAGGAAATGTACAGAATACGACACTTTAAAGTAAGAACTGTGGGGTCTTATGATTATAATCGTAGGAGCGAGTTTGCAACAAATATTGGAATCAATTTCAATCATTTCAAATTAAACTAACTGTAGCGATAAAAAATCTGACCAAAGAAAAAATCTGGATTGAAATATTACTTGCTAAACGGAAGATAGATAAGTAATTATTACAAGGGATATAAAAAAGGCCACTTAGTTGAAATTAAAATCCTACCGAAGCCCAAAACAATCATTATTATTTTTCTGTTGAGCGAAAGTAAAAACATTCTCAGAAACAATAAATGAATATTTCCTGGAAATCCTCGAGGTATTTAGGGAAATAAAATAACATTTTATTCGCCTATCTTATGTTTTTTTGTTTTGTTTTATTAAATCTTAATTGTAAATAACTTCGTAATAACGTCCCGTTTAGTGATAGTAGGTAATGAGAACGTAAAATACGAGTATGTAACATTCTTCAAACAACAATGACATGCTACAATCAACATTTTATAACTGTCAAAAACTACAATAAATTAAGATTCTGTCCTTATAGCTCGTTAAAGTTCTAGTGCGTGCTTTTTTGGATCACATACTTACTCCTACTTATCAGCAGTTCTGTCTGCTAAATCTGCTTGGAGTAGAGGGAGCCTAATGACCTGTTGGGTAGGATGACCTGATAGGTACAGGTTTCTCAAGTGGTCCTAAAATTTGAAAATGACAATACAAATGCCGTAGAAGCGGAATTTTAACAGTGCATAACACATTACACGTCTTAAGAGCAAAATATTTGACGATTTGTAAGTATGTACTATTTAAATAGTGAATATGTTACAGGAAATGTATGAAATCTAGGAATTGTATACTATTCCTAGGAAATGTATACAATTCCGAAGCTATTTAGGAAATGTGTAAAATATTGCTTCAGAGATTTTTTAATACGCACATATCCTAGGAAATGTATACTTTTCCTAGGAATTTTATAAAATTCCAAGATTGAATTAGGAAATGTATAAAACTAAGCGGCACGGCACTAGTGCAGTCGCGTGCTCGTGTGCCCATTGGCCGATAGGTACTTTTAACTCACAATTAGGTACTTTTAACTCACAATTATAACCTGACAGTTGTTTACGCACTATTATACTTTGGCTGAAAAAAATATTTGCTAAAATTTATTGGCATAACTTTCTTTCGGCATTACGCATATTATTACGCTGAAGTATTGGAAATCCATAATCTCAATAAACATCTCTTTTATTAAACTACTATTGGCATGAAGGTTTTAGTACTCCTGTAGCTGGATAACAAAGTCTCGGTTAGGTTAGGTTAGACTTGCGACCTTACATAAACACAGCTGCCGCGGTAGCGGCCGCCAAGCGCTTTTTAAGTTTCGGTGAAAAAAAAAGTGGCGTAATAAAAATAATTTTGTGTAAAAAAATTTTAGGCTTAAAACTTGTGTGCCATAGACAATTAGGCGTACAAAAAATTTGGCGATTCGATAGAGACCCCGCGTAATCGGATGATGCAATACCCTCCCCTCACACCGCATATCTAGGCGTATTCATTGAAATCTTATACATTTCCGATTGCTGCTTAGGAAATGTGTAAATTGCCTAGGATATGTATCTAATATAATTTACATCACACATTTTAGGGTGATTTTAGGAATTATACACAATTCCTAGGAATTGTATACAATGACGGATTTCATACATTTCCTGTAACAAATACATTAAATAAAGAAATTTGGACTTTGACACGAGTGGAATAATTATGTACACTCCTAAACTGTCTCAACCCTGCTCTAGTTACAGCTTGTTAATACGCTTCGATACAGGTCGAACGACTCAGAGCGGCCATTCTGGGAATTACCAAACTTGAGCAGTAAAACTGGAAGAACACCTGTTAGGGGCGGCGATAGCTCAGGACTGGAGTAAAACTTGCTGTTTATTAATGCCCCATTTTTCGATAGAGTTGACACCCTTATTACTTACGTATTTGCTATAATATTCCAAATTAAAGGTAGAGCAAGCTATGTTTGTGTATGTATGTGGGCAGGCCTCCCACTAGGTGGACCGACGATCTGGTGAAGGTCGCGGGAGGTGCCTGAATGCGAGCGGCGCAGGACCGGTCTTTGTGGAAATCCTTGGGGGAGGCCTTTGTCCAGCAGTGGACGTCTTTCGGCTGAAACGAATGAGCGAAGCTATGTTGGTAGAGCGTAGGACGTCCACCCATAAGATGGACCGACGACCTCATAAAGGTAGCGAGAAAGCGCTGGATGCAGGCCGCCACCAACCGGCCATTGTGGGAAATCATTGGGGGATGCCTATGTTCAGCAGTGGACGTCCTATGGCTGAAATGATGATGATGATGATGAAGCTATGTTAGGTGTAAAAGTGTCATGGAAAGGACCTACATACTAATAAAAAACTTGAATTTGAAAATGGTGTTAGTATGTTTTTACTTTACTTACATATTTTTTGGAAATGTATAAAGCCTGGTCCGTGAGCACTAGAATCCCGTCCAATGACCACAAGCTACCCATCCTTATCGCTCGCGCGTAATTATATTGCTGTCGTGACTGTGCGACGCGCGCCCGCAGTGAGTGTGCGAGCGCGACAGCAAACATAAGGGTTACGTGCGAGCGACAAGGATGGGCAGCTTGGGGTCATTGGACGGGATTTTACGTGCTCACGGACCAGGCTTTAGACACATTGCTAAAATGATTTTACCCACACGAGTTTTTTTCGTTTTTTTCCTAGGAATAAGAAAGAATTTTGAGACGACATTCAAAACTCGTTTCACGCTTAATAAAGCCTGTGAATTGAATTCCAATATTTAGAGCGTCCTAGTCTTGAATTTTTGAGTGTACTGTTGTAGTAGGCGTCATTCTAATATTAATTTTTTTTTTATCTACCATTAGTAACCAAAGCCAAGTTTACTGAGTTATTCTTCCAAAATGGCATCATTTCGTAGACTCTCACCGTTGGCTTAGCCTTTGAGTTCCTGCCAATGAACACTCCATTTTATTTTGCAACGAGATAATAATAATTCCCATCCAAAGGAAAAAAAAAAAANGAAAATACAGTTCTATAAATTACCCCGACTTAGCAGTCCAACGAAAAAGGAACATCTTAAAAAAACTCACAAAAAATTAAACAGGCGGAATTAAAGCGGGCCGATGTCGCAGCGAGCGCGCCAAATTGAAAAATTCCCTAAGTGTCCGAGCCCCATTGATTGTGCTACGACAATAGCACTTGGAGCGCACTAATCTTTTCATTAAAAAGCGATTATTCGCTGCACGGAACTTTGCACTAATAGGAATAAAGAACGAACAAATCAAACATGCATTGACATTCTCATTCACACTTCAATATAAGGTTCAATTTACTTTGGCGGGGTGCAAGGAAAAAGTTGTCAGGACGAGGCCCTCTGCAATATGCCTCGCATTGCGTCGCATTTTCTGACGGTACGCGATGACATTTCCATTTGGATTCTGTTGCGGACCGTTGATGTTATTAAAAAAAGTTTTTTTCTGAAGCGTGATTGGCGCAGATGACGACGTGCTAATCCAAAGAATCTTTGGCGTTTTCAAATTGAATTCTATTAACTTCAAAAATGTAGAGAGGGCGCCGTTTCTCACTGAGGACTGACTTTTTGCGGCGATGGAGCCAACTAAGAAATTAGGCTCTTAAAGGGATTACCTTTTGTATTATTCTGTGCGGGAAAACGACGGGCGGCGCTCAAATTTATAAAGCTCCCACACACTACAGGCACGGACTGGCGGTTGCTTTCCATTGATAAATAAATAAAAATATTTTGCCATTGAGGACTCAGTAGACAGTAGGATGTACAGAAAATACCTTAAAACCGTAGGTATTTTTTTTAATAAAATTGTAGTGCTATTTTGAAAAAAAAAACCGCATAGTCAGATGCGGTGAAATGTGCATACCTAAGTAAATAAATACTTCAGTGAGTAAATTAGTGGAGAATCACTTAAATACCACCAATAAAACATCCACAAATCCCCCAGGGTTCTATTCAGCTTTCACTCATTTGTTGCCATGTGCAATTGTGCATACCTACCTAGTATTTTTATTAAATTATGGATATCACATTACATTAATTTTAACGCATTACGCTGCAACCGCAGTGTTCGAGCCTCAGCGCTCAGGTGTAACCGACCCTTACGGCGACAATTAAAACAAAATGGCGGGCCCACTTTTGTTTCACCCGCCTTCATTTCTTAATGCACCCATTACGCAAAGACAAAAGTTTGTCAATAGACTCCCGGATAAAGCGTCAAAGAAGTCATTGACGACCCTCGCGTCGGCATTACAATAGATGTCCGATTTTCTTAATTAAAAATGTCGCACTAGCATCACAATGGACGGGTTTTAATCATCATTGCGATTGCAGCGTTGTTAATAACAACAGTGTTTCCACAGTCCTTTTCGATTTGTATGTCCGCCTAGATGGGGTTTGCTTTGATACAAATTATGGACTTTTTCATTTTTGACTGACTGGGACCGCATTGTACTGGATTCTATGTTCATCTACAGAACAATGTATGCAGTTTTGTTTATCGCATCGGGTGAATCTCTTGTTAGTAACGTTTGCACAAAAGATTGATATAATTAAGATTTTGTCACGTAACTTCTTGTATCAATGGATTTGTTTGTAAGGTGAATGTGAAAGTCAATAAGCCTGACAGGCGAGGTGTATTTTATTTGTTGTTTTTACCTTTCATGGCCAAACATTAGAGTTGGACAGAGTGGGTGGGCTACAGGCTGATGTTAATATAAAATTGCATACATTTTTGATAGCGTTTCTAAAAGTTGCAGTGGCTTAAATGGTTTTATTTTGTATGTTTTTTAATTAAAATGTGGATATATGTGAGTTCATTCAGTTATTTCAGCTTACCTGCGCTTGCGATCTCTAGGGTACACTGTTCCGCTATCATTTTTCATTTTACATCGTGCCCGAACTTTGTTTCGGAACAAACTTTTACTTTTTTGATTTGTGCACCTACACTGTTTGGAAGCTAAATAGGTATTCTGTTTTAAAACAATGTTGTTATATTTTTAATATCTGAAACATTGTATTTACCTGTAGGTATCAATTACATTAGATAATAACATAATATTAAATTTTGCGGGCTTACAAATTTGCCAAAACCCTTATAGTCAAAAAGTGCCTTTATTATGCCATTCAATAGTATACGAATACTACAATTTTAAATCAATTTATACTCACCGTGTGACTTTTTATAACATAGGTAATTTCGTAGAATACATAATTTATTCCATCATACTTCCAAAACTGACTTAGATAGTTCAAAATACTAACCACAGTTTCTTAGTAACCAAATATCGCGAAATATCCCACAAACAAGAGGTAAATCAAACGCCAGCAAAATAGATACCTCGACCTCGAGGCCAACAAAGCGGAGCGCTGCAGTAATAAATCTCAATTTGGTAATATTTTAACTTTCCAATAAACAGAACAGTGATCGCATTATTCGCGTTATGAGATAAATCCTGGGGCGACTTGCGAATTCCGAAGTTGAGATCAGGAAAGCCTCTGTTCTGTGCTGCGTTGGATTTAAGTCGCAGACAGAAGCGGAAAGGTCACCATCAAGTAATGGTATTACTTTTGCTTTATGACTTAATGTAGAAATGACATATGAGAGATGTATGTAAGCACTAATATAAACAGGCAGTAAGTAAATAGGCAGTTGAAAAGAAAAAGTTAAGGCTAGGCACCAAAAAAGACAAGGACAAGACATGATGTATCAACTGCTCATGTGGAGATTTGGATTGTCGTACCACTATAAGTTCAATTTCTGAATGAATTTGTAAATTCGTATTGGTAGTGACAATTTGATTGTCCGAACTGATATCAATCCATGCTTTGGAGGAAACGTAATAGCGTGGATCTGATTGATTGATTGAATGATTCCACACGTCTATGGTGACTGAAAAATTCTGTCACTGTCTGATTCTACTCGATAGATTGATTGCACCTAAGTTGATTCTTCTTCTCCATAAGTAATTCTGCTCTCCATGAATATTCTCCATCCATCTTCTTCATCTCAAATATCCTCGTCTCAACGCCACTCGTTCACGACTTAGTCGCGGTGTCAAAGTTTTAATCCGGCGTCGACAGCATTGTTTGGTCGCGAGCGGCTGATTACTGCCCGGCGACGGCTGACGCCTGCTCAGGGCTGAGGCTGGGAGATGGTGAAGCTAATGTTCAAATTCAAATTCAAATGCTTTTTAGTACTCCTTGTTAGTATAGAAAGGTTCTTACTTATTAGACATGAGCCGTAAGATAAACCTTGCTAGGTATTGCAACATTAGATTAGATTAATTACTAACTATGGCCTTATTACAAACTAGCTTTCCGCCAGCGGCTTCGCCCGCGTGGAATTTTGTCTGTCACAGAAAAACTTTATCCCTGTTTCAAAAACTGGGATAAAAACTATCCTATGTCCTTTCCCGGGATTCAAACTATCTCTATGCCAAATTTAATCAAAATCGGTTCAGTGGTTTAGGCGTGAAAGAGAGACAGACAGATAGACAGAGTTACTTTAAGATTAGTATAGATGCAAAAATACTTAGATTTTTTAAATAATACCAGATTAGATATTTGATGTAATTTTGACGCTGTCTTTCAAAGGTGATTTTTTTGTCAGATACATACTCTATTCGAGATCAATTATTATTTCTTTCTAAGTAGGCATTACACTAGGAGTAGTAAGTGCGAAAACTAGGAACTGCAGTAAATAATAGTCTTATCGTGACACCCCTGTCAACCGTTGCAGGCAGACTTCAACTTTGAATATTTTGAAATAAAGTTCAAATTATATTTATTGAAGTCAGATTTGAGCGACGAATTATTTATCGTTAACTTTACACTGTGTAGCATTTCAGGGTCACAGTTGCTAATTAATCATCATCCCGAAATACAATGTCGAAATTTAAATTATCAACGAAAAACTAGAACCATACAACAATTCAAGAACCCGTCTGGCCTGTGTTATAATATTATCGTTTCAATACCTCATTACGTACAAAATGTATATTACTATGTGCAAACAGTACTTGAATAGATGTGGTATTTTACTTTAATTAAAAGTTCAACTTACTTCATTGTCATACTACCCTTGCATATTTTGATAAAACAAGTTCCTTATACTTGCTAAAATGATATTCATGAACACATTAACGTAACTCTGATATATTAGACCGAAAAGTGCGCCAACTTTATCGTCTTCTATACAAATAATAACAGTTGGAAGTTCCCTCGGTGGTGTACTGAGGCATTTAATTTATAGGAAAACTTCGGCGGCCTAAGCGCTAAGAAAACTTGCCTTCACAAGTAGTTACTATCCTATATATTGCGCAATCACGTGTAGAATATCCTCACGAAACTAATGTTCTATAATTTTAATTCCGGAGTTGTTAACTGTGGGTGTAAAATGGCGACGTCGTAAAGTTTCATATTTGATTCATATTATTTCAATCTAGCAGTAATGTGAAGTGTGAACCAGGTACGAAACAATAATGTCGCAATTTTAGATCCACAGATTTGGATGGTGTAGTTATGTTATATCATAAGGACGTCCACTAAACTGGTGGCCTCCCCCAATGATTTACAAATCGCATTGATTCCACATTCAAGCTCTACATCAACTAAATAATATTATAGAACAAAACCAATATCTTAGTAGACGAAACTATCAAGATCTCTGAGCGTAGTTTATACCATTGATAAAAAAATAAAAACAGTTGGGAATAAGGCTAGAAGAAAGATTCACGAAGTTGAAAACAAGCTGAATAGTAACAAACGATTCAAAAGCGTTGTACAACTAAACGTAATAGCAACGAAAACCAATCAGGGAAGAACTTCGTCTGAGCAGAAAGACTAAGTTTGATGAAAAACTTGGCTACATGCATAGTGGTGAATCTCATAGACTGCCTGTTATATTTTTGCTAAGGAATAGTTTTCCATGTGCAAGTTTTAAAGGCTCGACGGCGCAGTTATCAAACTTTGTTACAAGTTCTATATTAATTACGTATAAAATTACCTATGTCACCATTATTATGTTAGTGCTCGTAGTTGCAGATTAAAATCTCGTTATTAAGTAGTGATGTTTTTAAATAATGTTTTCTGTGTTATGTTATTAGTTATATCATCAAAAAGCATTCGGAATCGAGCAAAAAGTCAGGAGACCTTACTTTTACGCCGCTACCGCGCCGCCGGCGCGCCGTCGCCGCGCCTTTGCACTGTTCATACGCACCGAGTAAAACCGCCGCCGCCCCGCCGCCGCGCCGCCACCGCGCCATCAAAGCATAATTTCGCCCGCGGCGGCGGCGCGGCAGCGGTGTTCACGCGGCGCGTATAAACAGTGCAAGGCGCGGCGACGCGGCGGCGGCGCGGTAGCGGCGTCGTGTGCAGGAGCGCTAAGGAATGTGTTAAGCACTATAAGACTTTTAACTTGGCTTTTAAGTAGCGATTGGATTATTCTGGGATTCTTGAGAAGTTTGTGTTGATGCGATATTCTCTACCTGTATTTTACTGAACATATGGAACACAACAAGCGATTTAACTAAGTTTAAAATGGACTGTCATCTTTGTTGTTATCATTAATTATGGTAAGATAGTTCTCACGAAGCTAACGGAGGAATAGGTGGGTTATTCCACTCCGTTTAACGATAACTCGGAGTGATCCCGCCGGTTGCTGAATGAAGGGAACTCTATTTTGATGGATCCATTTCGAGCGGTGCGTTTGGTGAACTATGTCTAATTGTATTAGGCACTGTTGGGAATTTTGGCAATATAATAAGCAACCTGCTGGCGTCACGAAGCTCTGATTGAAAATGTAACTATCACAATTTGATATTATCCTTTTATCTTTAGTGATGTTTGCATATTGTGTAGTATGAGTTGCTGTCGGCACTGCATTAAAAATAATTACGATGTTTCCTAGTGCATCATTTTATTTCGCGACAGGTGGGTTCTTGTTCATTTCTCTATAATAAGAAATCATTACAGTAAAAACTTTCAAGTACAGTTATTGGTATGCATGTTTGTTAAAACAAATTAAGTCGGTTTAATAATTATGTTAGTCGCGAACTCGCTAAGTAGTAAGCTAGTAATTACAACTTGATTGCATCGTTACCGACAGCACAATTAATTTGTAGCCACCGTTAATTGGACTAGTTAAGCAACGCAAGATTTATACACGCGACCAAATATATTATAAGATTTTAAGTTTTATAGATAATAGGGAACATTTTAAATGAATTATGTAAATTTATAGGTCTTATACTTTGCTAAATATTTTTATACTACAGGCATTGCGTAAAACTTTTTATTCTTACAATAAATATCTTATTGCTACCGCAGATTCTTCAAATAGTCTATTTACGAAGAATCCTGAGGATTCCAGATGTTGTCTTCAGAGAATGCTGTCTTTAATTTGACATCCGAATTAGGTCTTTGGAACGCTGCCAGAATACCAACTTTGCCTTATGAATTTAAACATCCACCAAATATCGTAGAAAATTTTATAGCTGGAAATATTTGGTTCCTTAACGTTTGTAAATATACATTGATGACATGCTATTACTCAGCAAAGACTAACGATGACATCAAATATTGTTTCGCGAAACAAGATTACGACAAGTGGTTAACGTCAAATAAATTGCGCAGTCAACTTAATAGCACCAACTTAAAGACAGCTGACATCCGCCGTTTATAGAAATAAGCTTTTAAATTTCTCTAATTAAGAGTCGAGATTTATTCAAACCGTTAAATCCAGGAGCAGCCGGGAAACAAAACGTGATTGCTCGTAGACTTATAATTTAATGCAATTTCCTCTTTTATTGTGGGGCTTGAGTTAGGGGAGGGAGCGGGGCAGTTATATTAACTAATGCCACTTTGTGGAATAAGACT